TTTGAAGAGGCGATTATTCAATTTACGGATGACGGAAGGGGTATCGGTGGCTCAACACCTAAATGAACTCAACACAATCACAACCCAGTTGAGTTCAATGGAAATTGAATTCGATGATGAAGTTCGAGCTTTAATTCTCTTATCATCTCTACCAGACAGTTGGAATGCTACGGTTACAGCAGTCAGCAGCTCGTCGGGAAACAACAAATTGAAATTCGACGATGTTCGGGATCTGGTACTAAGCGAAGAAATTCGACGGAGAGAATCGGGTGAAGCATCAACCTCTTCAGCCTTGCATACGAAGTCCAGAGGGAGAACTTCAGAAAGAAATTCAAATCGTGGAAGATTGAAATCCAGAAGGGGCAAATCAAGAACATGAAAGAAAGATTTTACATGTTATAATTGTGGCAAGAAGGGTCACTTTAAAAGAGATTGTCGAGCACTGAAGAAAGATATCGACGCACAAGAATATGCCAACATGACAGAGGAGACAGGTGATGCCATGATTCTAAGCGTCAACGGTCTAATTGAATCATGGATCTTGGATTCAGGGGCATCTTTTCACTCCACCCCATGCCGAGAAATCATGGAGAACTATGTCAGTGGTGATTTTGGGAAGGTTCATCTAGCTGATGATGAAACCTTGAAGATTGTCGGAAAAGGAGACATCCGATTAAAGTTGCCAAACCAGACCACCTGGACGTTGAAAGGAGTAAGACATATTCCTGGCCTCAAAAGAAATTTGATTTCTGTAGGACAGCTTGATGGAGAAGGATATAGCATAACTTTTTCAGACTGTGAATAGAAGATCACCAAAGGAGCACTCGTCATTGCTCGTGGTAAGAAGTTTGATACTCTCTATGTAACCTCAAATTTAGAGAATATCATTGCTGCAGCAGATGCTGATGGAAAATCAAACCTATGGCACCAAAGGCTTGGTCATATGAGCGAGAAAGAGATGAAGACACTTTTTTCAAAAGGGAAGTTGCCGGATCTAAAGAATGTAGATGTCGGACTATGTGAGGATTGCATCTTTGACAAACAAAAGAAAGTCAGCTTTGCAAAGATTGGTAAGACACCCAAGGCTGAAAAGTTAGAGTTGGTTCATACTGATGTATGGGAACCATCTCCAGTTCCATCTCTTCCATACTCATTATATTATGTCACATTCGTCGATGATTCTACAAGGAATGTGTGGGTTTATTTTCTGAAGAAGAAATAAGAAGTCTTTGATACCTTCAGAAAATGAAAGGCCATGGTGGAAAATGATACTGGTTTGAAAGTCAAGCGGTTGAGGTCTGATAATGGATGAGAGTATAGAAATAGGAGATTCAGAGATTTCTGCACAAATAATGGGATCAAGATGGAGACAACAGTTCCCATGACACCGTAACAGAATGGCGTAGTAGAACGCATGAACAGAACTCTGAATGAACGTGCCAGAAGCATGAGGATACATGTCGGATTGCCTAAATTTCTATGGGCTGAAGCTATCAACACTACAGCTTACCTAATCAACCGTGGGCCCTCAATTCCTTTGGATGGCAAAATACCAGAGGAAGTTTGGAGCAAGAAAGAAATAAACCTTTCACACTTAAGAGTATTTGGTTGTATTTCTTATATACACATAGACTCTACTTAAAGAAGTAAACTTGATGCTAAGTCCAACAAATGTGTCTTTGTTGGTTATGGCGGTGATGAGTTCGGTTACCGGTTTTGGGACTATGAAAATCGGAAGATCATCAGAAGTAGAGATGTCATTTTCAATGAGAATGTGATGTGCAAAGATAGGGCAACCATAGAATCAAGTAGCTCCAATACCGAAGCTGAAACAAAGAAATTTGCTGAGTTTGAGGAGATTTCTGGAAATGATGTTCAAATAAGTCCTGAAGCAGTTCAAGAAGAACTAGGCACACCAGAACTGAGACGCTCCTCCAGAATTCCTACCAACCCAACAGTATTCTCCTTCTTTGCACTACTTGTTGCTGACTGACAATGGTGAACCAGAGTGCTATGATGAAGCAATGCATGTGGAGGATTCAGTCAAGTGGGAGTCTTCCATGAAAGATGAGATGGACTCGCTTATGTCAAATAAGACGTGAGAATTAGCTGAATTACCACCAAGCAAGAAAGCGCTCCACAACAAGTGGATTTACAGGATCAAAGAAGAGCACGATGGGAAAAAACGCTATAAAGCGAGATTGGTTGTCAAAGGTTTTCAGCAAAAAGAATGTATTGACTACAATGAAATTTTCTCTCCAGTCGTGAAACTGTCTATAATCAGACTGGTGTTGAAAATTGTAGCTGCAGAAAATCTACATCTTGAGCAGTTAGATGTAAAGACAGCTTTCCTTCATGGTGATTTGGAGGAAGAAATATATATGAGACAACCAGAAGGCTTCATAGAGGCATGCAAGAAAAACCTGGTATGCAGGTTGAAGAAGAGCTTGTATGGTTTAAAACAAGCTCCTAGACAATGGTACAAGAAGTTTGATAGTTTCATGAGTAGTAGTGGTTTTACCAGATGTCAAGTAGATCATTATTGCTACATCAAGAGGTTCGACAACAGCTTCATTATTTTATTATTGTACGTTGATGACATGCTCGTTGCAGGCTCAAACATGCAAGAGATTATACACTTGAAGCAAGAATTGTCGAAGCAGTTTGCTATGAAGGATCTGGGCGCTGCAAAGCAGATTCTTGGAATGAGGATTAAGAGAGACACAAAGTCGGGGACTTTAATGTTATCACAGGTTGAGTGCATCAACAAAGTACTCTCCATGTTCAACATGAAAGATGCTAAACCAGTAAGTACACCTTTAGGTGTTCATTTTAGACTCTCCAAAGAACAGTCACCAAAGACGGAGGAAGAACGTGCACACATGGTGAAGGTGTCGTATGCCTCAGCAATTGGAAGTTTGATGTATGTTATGGTTTGTACCAGACCAGATATTGCTCAAGCAGTGGGAGCTATTAGCAGGTACATGAATAATCCGGGCAAGGTACACTGGAAGCAGTCAAATGGATCCTCAGATATCTGTGGGGTACTATAAACAAAACACTTTGTTTCAAAGGTGGAGATATGATACTGACAGACTATGTAGATGCTGACTTAGCCGAAAATTTTGGCATCATAAGAAGCACTACAGGGTATGTCTATACTCTAGGAGGAACCGCAGTGAGTTGGGTTTCTCAACTACAGAAGATAGTTTCTCTCTCCACAACTGAAGCAGAATATGTCGCTGTTACGGAAGCCAGCAAGGAGATGGTTTGGCTCCAAAGTTTCTTGGAAGAGTTATGCAAGAAATAAGAGAACAATATTTTGTATTGCGACAGTCAAAGTGCTATACATCTAGCAAAGAATCTGTCTTTTCATTCCAGGAAGAAGCATATACAATTGCGATATCATTTTATCCAGTCTCTTCTGGAAGATGGGATTTTGAAACTTGAAAAGATTAGTGGAGCTCAAAATCCGGCAGACATGTTGACAAAGATGGTGACTACGGACAAACTGAAGTTGTGTTCAGCTTTAGTTGGCATGCTAGAATAACAAGACTAGAAATGCTTCTGCATCGATCGAGGTGTGAAGACAAATTAAAATCAGTCTTCAAGTGGGAGATTGTTGATCAAAATGCAATGGCAGCCGACGGCTTGGAATTAAAAAAAAGGGGCTGCTAAAACATGGGCTGCTAAATGACATGGGAAAATTATTTTTAGTCACTAGACTTTAGGGTATTTTCAAAGATTAGTCCCTAAGCTTCAACTATAAATACCCTAGCTCATTTAGCTTCTAAATCATCCCAAATCATTTCTTTCTCCCAATACTAAGAGTTTTCTTGTGAGTAGTGAGTGATTTGTAAACACCTGTAAATTTTCTCTCTTAGTAAAATATCTGCAGCAGTCCGGAGACGTAAGCAAATTGGCTGAACTCCGTTATCAATTTCGGGTATTATTTTTCTGCTTTTATTTCGCATTCTCACTAATCTGGTTATAGGAAAATTACTCGTTACTCGTTTAATTTCCCAACAGTGAGAAGTTTGAGCAAGAAACCGGTTGAACATTACGACTCTCTTAAAGAATCTGATTATGTAACATACTATTATTTTGTTACCCTCCCGGTTTTAAGGCTTCGCCTTCATTAATCCGGACTGACTCGCGTCGCATACTTGATTTTGGTGGGTGAGTCTCTCAACAGAGATTTTCTGCATACACAAAGACTCAAACTTAGACATTACTTAAGCGATATCAAGCTACTTACCACTTGAACCAACATCTATCGGTGTGTAACATACTATTTCGGTTATAGAATTTATATTATTACTACAATTTACGTGTTTATTATACAACAACGTTCGTGAATAATATTATTAATTATTTAAATGCCTTTATTCGAATTTTAGAAAAGCAATTAGATTATGTTTAGAAAAATTAACGTGAAAAATTAAAATAAACGCCTAACTATCCTCGTAAAGATTCAAAACAAATATGTAAAATCCAAACTAAAGTCACATTCCAAAAGTAAACAGTAGAATAAACTTTTAAATATTATAAATGATTACACAAATCAATAACGAAAGAGTATATATTAAAGTAAAATGAAATAGATAAAACTTTTGAAATTAAAGTTTAAATTCTAACTCAATAATCAGAGTCAACAATTAACGATATTAAATTAACCATCAATAACGATGATGAATAAAATAATTGTTTTCATTAAAATTTAAATATCTATGATCGATAACGATGGTTACATTTTTATTTTTTATTTTTTACAAAAAAATAACTAATTAATCATAAAATATGTATTTTATTTTCATGAGCAAAAATCGAACCTAAAACAATATAATTAAATATGGAGATGAAGAACTATAATGCCACATCTAATGATTACCCAAAGCTCAAATACAAGAGGCACAAACCCCTATTTGCACCGGTCAAGTCCCATCAATATGCAATTGAAATGGTCCTTTTGTTATTTAATCCCTTTCATGGAAGACTTTTCCGTGGACTTTCTCGCCATTCATCTCCCTTCAGCTTAAACTCGAAGCTAAGAATTAAAAGAAAAAAAAAAGCACAGCTTTTAAAACTTGTTCTAAGCTTTGCTAATTCTAAAGGAGAATGGGTAGCTTCACGCTTGGGGAAATTTCAGGGATCAGCGAAAAACTGATCAAGAAAACATGTTCAATGGCCATGGCAGCCCACAAGTCACCGCAAAACCTATTCGTTGTAGAAAATTCTCGTACCTCATCCGATGTCATCTTCAGCTTCCCTGGATCCTGGTCTGCGGGTCACTGGTTCACTCGTCAACCTTTCGGCGAAATCAAGGTTGATCAGTCCGACTTGTTTTGCCCAAAGGGCAACGACAAAGTTGCCACATCTCTTAGAAGTATCGGTCGTGATGAACTTGCAACTGTTAATGAAGGGTTTCTGAGAAGATTTGAGACGATTTTGGGTACTTCTTCACTTCAAGCTGAGGTATCGGTTAATTTAATTACCATTGAGTGCATATTTCTGTTTACTCGTCTTTGGATCCGGATATTATGTACTAATTGATTTGAGTTTAGTATTAGTTTTACTGAAATTGTGGAATTAGATTCAATTTATAGTTAAGTAAACATACCATTGGCCAAAATAATGGAATTATGTAAGTAAATGAGCATAGCTTGAAGTTCATAGCTGTAGATTTTGCATAGTACAAAATTGTGGTTATGGATGTTATAAGGTGATTTATTTTTTAAAAATAATTATGTTTCTAAATTCCAGTTGCTATTTGGAGGTGATCTCGAAAAATATTACAGTCGCAATTTAATACTACGAGATTTTGATATTTCTCAGGTAGAAAAAGCTATCATGGAGAAGAAGAAGGTAGTTTTTACTGGACATGCTTCTGGTGGTGCTGTTGCTATCCTTGCCACAGTTTGGTACCTGGAGCAGTACTTGAAACCCGAGAAAACTTCGATGCCGCCTCTTTGTGTGACGTTCGGATCGCCTCTTGTCGGTGATTTCATCTTCAACCATGCTCTTACGAGAGAGAATTGGTCGCAGTATTTCCTTCATTTTGTGATGAGATATGATATTGTCCCTCGGATTTTGCTTGCCCCTTTGTCTTCCATGGGGCAGGAACTAGAGCAGATCTTTTCTCTGTTGAACCAAAAGGCAATGTTTCCGATTCAGGGAACGATTGTAGAAGCATCGAAGTTCTACGAAACGGTGATGAGAAATGCATCAGCCGTTGCCAGCCATGCTGCCTGCAGACTAATGGGAAACACAAATCCCATTTTGGAGACAGTATCAAGCTTCATTGAGCTAAGCCCTTATAGGCCCTGTGGAACATTTGTCTTCTGCTCTGGACATAGGAAGCTGGTTTCGGTACGAAATGCGGATGCTGTTTTGCAATTACTGTTCTACTCTTCTCAGCTGCGCTCCGAGAATGAACTTAAATCCGTCGCTGAGAGAAGCCTCGACGACCACTTCAATTATCTAAGTGAGCTTCTAGAAAGCTTAAACAAGCCACTTGTTCAATTAGATCATTTGGAAGCGCTTCCACTCTCTTCAAATGGCATAACTGCTGAGAATATTGTAACAAACATGGCCTTAAATGACCTTGGCTTGGTAAGTATCAATTTCACCTGTTCAATTTGTCAACAAATATGCCTTTCACTCGATCACAATGGTGTCTGAAACTTGTGTTATTCCTTATGTGATCCCTTTTCTGGTGTCTTGGAATTCCAGAGCGCTAGAGCCAGGTTGTGTCTTCGGGCTGCAGGAGAGCACAAAAAGCAAAAACTAAGTAACCAACAAAGAATGGATAGTAAGAAGAAGGACATCGAATCGGGACTTCGCGCACTGGAAGAGTACAAGACCAAATCTGCTTTGTGCAATGTGGGCTATTATGAAGCTTTTAAGATTTCAAAAGAAGAGGATGATTTCAAAGCAAATGTAAAGAGGCTGGAACTAACAGGAATATGGGATGAGATTATTGAAATGCTGAATAGGTATGAACTCCCTGAAGGATTTGAGAGCCGAAAAGACTGGATAGAGCTTGCAATAAAGTACCGCCGGATTGTTGAACCTTTGGACATTGCCAACTACTATCGACATGCAAAGAACGAGGACACCGGACCCTATATGCACAAAGGCAGACCAAGGCGCTACAAATACACCCAAAGATGGCGTGAGCATGCCTTGAGGATGCCTGTGGGATCAAGCGCTGAATCCTGCTTCTGGGCCGAGGTAGAGGAGCTGCTTCTCTATAGGACTACCAACCCTGGAGCATTTGAAGATATCAGGGAAAGGATTATAAATCTGGAAAGAAAGTTGGAGGAATGGTTCCGTGGTAATCAAATAAGCAATGACGTGTTTTTGAAAGGCTCCGCTTTAACCAAATGGTGGATAACACTTCCTCACCAACACAAATCCACATCTCGAATCCAGGGATTAATCAACATCTGAGCTGAGAAAGCTATTCTGTTTATTGTATGGCTTGAAGAAACCGATAAACAAGTGTTGGTGACTGGTCTGGCCGCTCATTAACAGAAAGTTGTTTCATTTGATGCTTGATATAAGCAGCTATGGTGTGTACAGCCATGTAGTTGTTTTGGAAGTGGTATGTGGAGATAGCTACCAGAGATGGCGACGGAAAAGGAGGAAGAGCAAGTATTGATTAATAGGGTGGGAGGGGTCGTATGGAGAACGAGGGAGATTTCATAATATTGAAGCAATCATTAATGTCTTTGTTTGGAACCTTGAAATTTGCTGCTATGTCTGTTCTAGCTTGTGACTCGTTTTGTTTCTGGTGTTTGCACATGCGTTTCGAATACTTATGCTTAGTCTTTTAAACTTCTTTGCATTCACGATTTCATCTCTTTTTCATTAAGTGTTGGGAAAACTTGAGGCCACCAGAAACAAAAAGGAATATTGCAATTACAGACGCTTACATTCATTGAAATGTTATTTCTTTCATGTCCTCCTCATAGATAAACTAACTACTAGAACTACTACTATATATATGATCAGATCAGTTCATATTTACTAAGAGAGGATATTTTGTTAGACCGGTATTTTTTCTATTGCACAAGATGATTGTCATTATATCTAGAAACGCACACGAGACGAACACGAGCCATCTCTGGCCAGAATCCCTTTCAGGTCTCCTGTAATTCTGGCCAACCATATCTCTAGATTTCTTTGCACTTAGAGTCTTCTTGTAAGTTGTTTCTAATGGAACCCATGGATCGTTTCATGCCGACTTTGGCCATGGCTGGGCTTCCAACGTCATCCCTGTTGTTGTAACTCTTCCCGATTTCGGTTTGTAATGTCATTAGCTTCTGTCCAGTTTCGGATGCATGCTGCTGAAGCCATAACGCTTCCAGCAAAAACTCGGTCTGTCTCTGTGTTTGAAACTCTAGACTGAGTGTAGGGTCGGATGGATCAGTAGCCTGCTGCAAGATGAAAAAAAATTAAGCCAAGCAACACAGTATGAAGGATCTAATTCGGAGGTATATGGTTCTTAAAAGACCATCATAAGTAGAAAAATGTAAGACAACAAAATACAATCTAAGGCAGATATGTCTTACCAATCTTCTGCAGAGATCATCGTTCTTTGCGGTATGAGCTTGGTATCTTCTGGCTTGCTTCCCCATTAGAGAAGGTACCCTTGAAACATCACTTTTGCCCATTTTTCCCAAATTCAATAATCCCTGTTCAAGCAGCTTTAGTTTAGAGGAAACTCAATAGATTCACCATCTAACTTCCATGGTGATTCCCTTCTGAAGTGAAAACATAAGTTGCTCCTCCATCAAACACAGCATTTCATACAGATTTCAAGAAGAAGCGATATTTAGACTGTTACACTAACCTTGCAACAAAATGCTTCATACAATACAAAGATTCAAGAGATTCATACTGTACATCCTGCAAGCATAAACATCCAGCAAACTTTAACCATCACAAACACAACTATACTGGAAATCAGAATGGCAACGGAAACGGCTTGCAAATGCTTAACAATGTGATGAAAGATGTCAATCTCAATCAATTTCTCACAAATGGAGTTCAATTCACGCACTCATTTATTCATCTAATGTCTTCAGCTGGTAATAAATAGTGTCTACAACTCATTTTAGTATGATAAGAATCATAGTTGATTGATCCGAGGGTTATTGGAAATGCTATGAAAAGAACTAGACATACAAATCTGAAAGTATGCTTCTTGAAGCTGCTTTGGTTGCAATTTGCAACTGACGCCTTATTGACTTTTATAGGAAATTCTATAGGTTATGATGTGGTTGCCATGGCTTAGTTAAGGGTGGTCCAACTACATGAGAGGACTTAATCAGAAACCAAAGCTACTTTTTGAGTGGCCACCAAACCAACATATCATGAAAAGTAAGAAAGGATCAAGTAAAGAGGGATGACTACATGCATTAAGCATTAATGATAATGAGACTAATACACAACTCAATTCAAACTTCATTGCAAACTAAATCTAATCAACGATGAAGATGCATGAGAATGCAAGACATCAATCCAATGATTTCTTCTCGTCTTTAAGCAAATAGCTTGGGTCGTATAAGGAATTTCGTAAAGCAGCCAAATGCAGAACAGAATTTAACTAGTATGCCAAGCAGAGATAATAAATGGTGGCCATTCAGCAAAACGATTTTGGATTCATGATACAATGCTATATGTTTTTAACCAAATTGTTACAGCCACTATATCAATTGTGTCATATATATATATATATATATTTAAATAAGTCCTTTTCTATGGTTTACTGGTTATATATGTTTTTACATCTCAACGAGTGTTGGCAAAGTGGTTGGAATTTAAGAATTTGAGTTTGTAAGATTAAGTCTGAATTCTATCACTGTCACTCTTGATGTGCGATCTATAAATTTCTATGTAAATCTCAATTGAGTCTTAAGTATGTTTTGATCATGGATTAGAAAACCACCCTAACTTAAACTTTTTAGTACCAAAAAAATATTTTTTACATAATATTATCGATAGACAACAGGTGAGGTGACACTTCATAGTTGTACAAAAAGTAAAAAAAAATGAGGAAGAAATTATTATTTTGAAAGAGAGAGAGAGAGAGAGAGAGAGTCTTCATTTTGCTACTACGTTATATATTTCAAATATGCAATAACCACGAGATCATTTATTAGAGGAGGTGATATAGTGGTTAGAAGATTAGGCTCAAGTCACCACAGACCTATTATGTTTAGTCGTCGTGTGATTCATCAAACAATCCGACTTGTCTGATAATCTTTATTACGAAATTAGTTTCTTTGTTATAATTGTTTGATAATCATTTTATGAATTTAATGTCTCTTTATCATAGAAAATACTTGTTTTTACAAAGGGTCTTACAGGTTGGGAACCCACAAGTATTGTATAAAAAGAGCCTGTTAATGTACTTCAAGGGGTTCCATGGCAGTGCTGAAGTTGAGCGTGAAATGCTGCAGGAAGTTTTCGAGAAAGGTATCATCAAGGTCACATATGTCCTTGACATGTCGTTCAGTTGCTGCATATAAGAGACCACACGCCTGAAAAAGTTTGGGTTCTCTATACTTAGAAAAAAGATTGGAAGATCATAATTCATTGTCGACATCATCATAAGTCTAGCATCAATCACCCTGTAACATGAGTATTTAAATTCTAATAAAAGATTGAAGGCATAGAATATACAACTCTTCCAGAGGACCTGACTTAATCTATATCATATGTCTTTTTCTCTAATTTTCGTTCTTATATAGAAGAACATCAATCAACGGTTATTCTCTCGTTGTCGCGACTCTCCGTTCAAATTAGAATGGATAAATTGAGAATAACCACTGAGATTAAATTTATTCCCGTCAATAAAATCGGACCGTAATTGCAAGCAGAGTCTGCAACCGGACAGGAACCAGTGGAGTTCCGATGGAAGTTTTCATGAAATAGTCTCCACCGGTGGAGTTACTGTCTAGTGGTTGAATCAATTGGACCAACCTTGCCGTTAGTTTGGATATGCATCAGGCCCAGCCTAATTTGTCAAAGTTACTGTGCATTAGCGTTGGGTCGGCAACGGATTTAAAAATATTTTTATGATAGATACATATATGTCAATAAATTTTAAATTTTATAATAAATACGTGCTCACCCTCGTACATATGTGGATCCGCCACTATGACTAATGGACCACTTAGGCGCCAATCCACAACATATCATATTTCCTGTATTATTATTATTATTATTTATTTATTAAGATGTTATTGCTTTTGGGGTTGGCTTACAGTAACTGGTAACAACTAACAAAGCATGAAGTGCTTAAGGGGAAAAGCAAAAGATGATTGCTGGGGGCACGTTTTATTTTTGTGGGTGCGACTCCCACTGCCTATTTGATTAGAAAAAACAAACTTATGCGGTTAGCATTTTGTAATGTGAAACCGATTGTAAATTTTATAATTTTACACCTTAGGCCATTCAATTATTATTTAGTTTTAAACGGGTTATCTTTTAAAAATTATAATTTAATTACTTAATTAAATATTATTATAAACAATTAATCTCATTGTTAAAGTTAAAATAGATTTCTAACATAATATGATATAATAATAGTTTTAGCCTCAAATTATACATTTCGATCAATTTAGTCCTGATTTGGAGCAATTAAATAAATTTAACTTTTTATATTTAAAATTTCATCAATATAGTCTTTTCTTATAGCCCTCGAGAACCAGGTTACAATCGAGTACCTACCAAGAGTTAACTCGTAATCCCAACGAGCCAATGTCCCCTACTTTCAAGTTTCAACGATAGTTTATACGGAGCTTAACGAAATAAGATTCTTCAACGACTGTAATCACCATGTTGCAATCAGTGATAGTTGTGGGGGAGATGTTAAGGGATGTGTATCAGATCCCGAGGAGACGAGTCCATGTCATCCTCAATGGTGTCGATAAAAACGTCTTTCAAAACAACTTATCGTTAGGCCTCGAGTTCAGGTCTAAGCTCGATGTCCCCGTAAATGGTAGTTTGGTGCTCAGAGTGGCCGGAAGATTGGTGAAGGACAAAGGGCATCCTCTGCTTTACGAAGCCTTCTCCAAGCTCATAACAAAGCACCCTCATGTGTATTTGATCGTGGCGGGGACCAGAGTGGGAGAACCAATACAAGGAATTAGGTCCTCGCGTACAAGTTCTCCGTTCTATGAGCTCATCCGAATTGACCGCATTTTACAATGCGATCGATGTTTTCGTGAATCTGACACTGAGGCCTCAAGGGTTGGATCTGACGTTGATGGAAGCGATGATCAGTGGGAAAGCAGTGGTTGCATCGAGGTTCCCTAGCATCAAAGGCAGCATCGTTGTTGACTATGAGTTCGGGTTCATGTTTTCGCCCAATGTCGAGTCGTTGTTGGAAGCGTTGGAGGAGGTGGTGGGAGAAGGACCGAAGAGGCTAGCACGAAGAGGAAAGGCATCTCAGGAATATGCAGCTTCCACGTTCACAGCAAGCAAGATAGCATTGGCATATGAGAGATTGTTTCTTTGTATAAAAAGCGACACATTCTGTGTGTATCCTTGGGATATGTTAGACTTTGATACATTCATTACGTTCAGCCTTAGCTGAATTTTATTTTCATTTTCATCTAAAAAAGAAAGATTATAAAGACAATCGAAGAACAATTAATGGTAATTTCTTTGTTTTGGACAAATTTAAATTCAATTTAAGTTGATAAAAGAATAGGATTTTTTTCCTTATATATCATCTTTTAAAAAATATTAACAAATATGATACCTTGCTAAGATTAAATACAGATTCCCTTGAATATAAGCAAAAGCATGTGATGCCAATCCCTTTTTTCTCGTGAATTTTAATTTTGATAAAATTATATCGTTAGACCCTATACTTTCTGCATTTAATTTATATATCCCGATTTAGTTAATTCTAACGTGTTTCAAATTTTGGAATTTCAGACATGGTTCCAACAAAAATATGAACTATTAAATCAATGAAGTCAATTTACAATATTTAATATCAGAAACAATTTATAAAAATATGTAGGGCTGTAAACGAGTGGAGTCGAGCTCGACTCGAAAACTTACAAGTCTAAAATTTTCAAGCTCGACTCGAACTTGAAATTATGAACTGAAGCTCGTAATGCTCGAAAAGGCTTTTCAATTCTGTCAAAATTCGGTAAATGATCGACTCGGTTTGATTTAACTTGAGCTGACTCGAGACTTTAACGAGTTGAGTTGAGCAAAGTCACGAGTAACTCGTTAATTTTTTATATATTTTTTTAGTAGTTTAGTGATTGCAAGCAACAATGATTGGAGTGAATAGATGTTGATTTCTTAAATTTAGGATTGATTATCTATCGTTGAACTTCTTTTTTTATTATTATCTTGGAATTTTGGCTTTGAAATTGTTTTGTATACTCTTTTGATAATTTTTTTTGTTAATTTTGTTAATTTATGTTTATATTAAGCTCTATATAGTATTAATAGATTTTATCTAAAACTAAAAAACAAGGTAAAATTTTTAGTGAGCTTAACGAGCAACGACCTTAAGTAGTAACGAGTAGAGTCGAGTAACAAAATCTGTTAACGAGCATGAGTCGAACACTGCCCAACTCGCGATCGAGTCGCTCGATAAATACCCCTAGAATGAACTAACGTTACTTCCTAATACTCACTTTTGCCTGCAAGCTTATTTAACTATACAACCGATGAACCACTTGCCCTCAGTTTGTCATGTTAGAAATCAATTTCTTAACTGCTAGGTTAAGCAGTAATAGTTGGAGAGACTCCTCTAATACAGGTCCAACAGATTTGATAGGTTTAAATCACATTGAAAACATAACTACTTGAACTCAAGACCCTACTAAAAATAACATTTTCTTTTACCACTGAAACAACTACGATCCGTATTAGGCTTCGGCTCGTGA